CCCGCCGCACCATGGGCAGCGCGGAGGACGCAGTCAAAGAGAAACTGCTGTGGAACGTGAAAAAGGAGGTAAAGTCGGGGCAAGGACCCCCGGGGGTGCGCATCTGGGTCCTCGCGGCCCAGGGCGAGAGAAGGTCCGCGCCCACCTGCAGGTGCGGGCGCTCGCCCGCGGGGCCTGGGGCGGGCGGAGGCGGGTCCTGAACTGGCTGCCGCTAGCGTCTCTTTCGGGTTTTAGAGGACAGCACCACTGAGGGGCTAGGCCGGTGCTTTGGGGCTTGTTTGCTTCATGATCCCGCAGCTCCCCGCCCTGTGACGGCAGCAGCGCTGGGAGACCCGAGGTCGGGGGAGGGGTGACGGCGATTTCTGGGAGCAGCAGAGCTGCCCATTCATTGCCCGCGCCGCCTGGGGAGGGGGCGGGGCCCGGCGCGCACCTCCTACGGTGCTAAACTGGTGGTTTCGGGGCTTGGATCCGATTTGCGGTACTGTTCCTAGGCGAATGGGAATTGAGTCGCGGCCTCAGAAGGGTTCACCGCACCTCTCACTTCACTTCTTCTTCCTCCACGCCCACCTCCTTATCTAGGGGCCAGGATTTGGTGGGATGTTTTTTGGCGGGTGGGGAGTGAGTATGGTAAAACGAATTTTTTTACCCCTTTTGAAAAAGATTACCCCTGTGTCAGAAGGACAAAAGAGTCTTCTCTACTAGCGTCTTTACCTTGTTCCTCCCCTAAAGCCAATTTCAGATTCATTGGGGGGGGGGGAACCCATATGAATGACTCACCCCCATTGCTCAAACCACACAGTGAATTAGAATGGATTATGGCTCGAAGCATGAACTCCTCCCACCTATTTTGTGCTGGTAGCTGCCAGACTGACTTGTCCACTTCTGGCACACAGTAGGCACTCAGTGACTTTGGGTAAATAACTCCACGCTCTTGGAAACTGCAAGGTCTGGTGGGAAGGCATAAATCTTGGAATAGTCTGAACTTAGCTTTGTGTAGCCTTAAATAACTTAACTTTTCCTTCATATTTAAAATAGGGATCACTATATCTATCTTATTTTTATAAACGTTTTACCACACTGATTCTTTTATCCCTTCCTAGAGTTTCAGGACTGGAGGTGATTCTGGGTTCTCATAATATTCCGGAAGATTAAAGGTTCTTTTGCACTAACTACATATGGCCTGGTTATTGTGTCCTATGTTTTCATTCCCTTTGATTGGCAAAGAAGTGATTGAAGTTGTCACCTTTCCAGCTGTGAGAAACTACATCATACCACTGCTGTTAAGTGGCCAAGAAAGACCTTTTTAGGGGTCTATCAAATAGCATTATACCCCAAACCTGATCTCACCAAGGAAAAGAGAAATCTCAAATTTCAGCGATTACCCTCAGGAAACAAGCTATCTAAGGACAGAGATTTATAGAAACAGTATAAACAAGAGCAAAAAAAGTAGCCTTACTCAAACTGTAGACAGATGTGCCATGAATGTTGGTGTCAAAATTTGGGCTTGTTAAGGGAGGATCAGAAAGGTTTTTGAGAAGAGTGATTCTTTTTTAACTTTTTAAATTTTTTATTAGTGCATACAAGAGCTGGGGTGTAGGCCAGCAGTTGGGGGGTGGTGTATGAGAGGATTCACCAGAGACAGAGTGGGGAGCAGAACCGACGGATAGACTGAAGTACACTGCTGAGGGGGGCAGAGGGTGAGGCAGGAGAGGTCTGCCCAGCTATGTGGGTCAGCTCCCTGGCCTGGGATTGAACTCATGCCACAGTGGTTGATGATGGCTTGATAGTGCTGAGATTTAACCCCTTGCACCAACAGAGAGGCCTGATTCTTTTTTTCAGTATGTAGAAGACTGTACTATTCCAAGTATGATTCTAAGTAAATGTGAGAAATGTCCAGAATATGCCACTACTTATGTCACCTGATAAAAGTTATCTGACAAAAGTTGCTTGCTCTGAACTCTTAGTTCTCTTTCTCCCTTAGTGTAGATTACAAAAGAAACATCCTTTTCATCTCCTAGTGGTGGAGAAAGTGGGGATACTTGTGAACAGGGCTGGCCTCTCCCAAGGACTGCAGGTGTGTGCGGCATGTGTAAGTCCTCCTACCTCAGGATCTACCCCACTAGCCTACTGCAGATGAGTGCAGGTCTTTGAGCTGTGACATGTTTAACACAAATGTCACTTGGGTGGTTTTTGTTTTAAAATTTTATTTATGCATACAGAGCTGGGGTACAGGCCAGAGGTGCAGGGGCAGAGAGAGACTTCACTAGAGTCAGAGAGGGGAGCTGAACAGGCAGATTGAGAAGTACACTGCTGAGGGGAGCAACGGGCGAGACAGGTCTGCTGCGCCATGTGGGTCACCTCGCTGGCCAGGGATGGAACTCGTGCTGCAGTGGCTTCATAGTACTGTGCTTTAACCCATTGTGCTACCTGGAAGGGCCCTACACCCCAGTTCTTGCAGGCATAAATTAAAAAAAAATTTTTTTTAAAGACATGTCCAGAATGTTCATAGTGGCACTATTCATAACTGGTCCATGTCAGAAACTACTCAACTGCTATGCAGTTGTGGTGGGTTCTCACAATGCAGAACAAACAATCCATAGCTACACAGAACATGGACAAATCTAACAATCACATCAGAGAGCAGAAAAAACCCAGTGACAAAAAGGTACAAAGACTTACAAATGATGTTAGAAATCAGGACAATGGGTATCCTTGAAGGGAGTGGTGGCAGAATGAGGATTTTGCTTTCTTAATCTGGATGCTGGTTTCACACGTGTGTTCAATTTGAGAAACATCGTCATGCTGTATAATTATGATATATAACCTTCGCTTTACACTAGCTAAAAGATGCTTCAGGAGTCTTTGTTTTCTTAAAGCAAGGTGTGGCTCCTCACCTTCCAAGCTTTTTGGAAGCATTTACATCCACACAGAAACCCAAACATCAAGTTTTTACCTAGACACAAAGAAGGCTGGGCCTGTGTGCAGAATGTCCCTGAGGCCTAGATGAACCTATCCCCCAGAAAAGGGGGAGAAAAGGAGGGGCAGATTGTTTATCTATGGAGACATTCTGTCCCTGAAGGACAATGTGTTTGCCTGCAACACTTCTCTAGCCAGTGACATGAACAACAGCACCCTGTCCCTGTTCTCCAGCAGGGCACTTATTCCTGGGGAGAACATCTCCACTGGCAAGTTTACAGAATCTCTTGCAGCTGTCTGAAATGAAGGAGTTTTGCAACCCCATGCCTCCCATGCCTGTCCTCTGTGCTACAAGTATCTGAACCCAGACCAGGAGGGCAGAGTTGAGCTCTGCTCAGAGGCCTTTGTAACAACACAGTGCTTCTGTTTGTCGACAGGTAAAGCAGATCATGGAGGAGGCTGTCACCAGGAAGTTTGTGCATGAAGATAGCAGCCATATCATTGCTCTGTGTGGTGAGTAAGTGATTGGGGGGAGAATGGGTGAATGGTTTAGAACTGAGGACACTGGGGCTTCCCTGCTGGCCTAAGGGTTAAGTCTCAGTGCTCTCATCACTATGACATGAGTTCAATCCCCAGCCAGGGAGCTGACCCACATGGCACAGCAGACCTCTCCTGTCTCGCCTGCTGCTCCCCTCAGCAGTGTACTTCGTCAATCTGCCTGTTCTGCTCCCCACTCTGTCTCTGGTGAATCCTCCTACCCCAACCCCCACACCTCTGGCCTGCACTCCAGTTCTTGTATGAATAAATAATCTTTAAAAAAAAATAAGAAGGGAGAAAATTCATAATAAGCCTTTACTTTCACCTCAACATGAAGACTTTTGCCTTTGTATAAACAAGCCTGTCTCTGCCCACAATAGTTCTCTTAGATTTCCAGGAATTTGACCTTCTTTTCATGCCTTTTATGAAGGGACAGAGTCATCTCCAATCTCTTCTGGCCTCTGAGATTGGTGTTTGAGGTCATAGAAGGCTGTGCATTTCTGAGGCGAAGAAACACAAGTAGCAGATACAGGGTGGAGCTCTTTTTGGTGATATAGTGTGTTCTTCCATCCATCCAGAAATAAACACTGACGGCCACCACCCCAGGCGCTTACAGTCTGTGGAGACAGGCAGAAGTCAAATGCACCACAGCTGTATCTTGTGATGAGAATAGTTAGGAAGAGAGGTGACACAGATGGGGAGGGTGAGCAGGAAAGGGGCCTGTCAGCCGTGCCTGCGTGACAGATCGATGATTCATGCGAATCCTGGTGCTGTTTCTTCTTTTTCAATTATTTTGTTATTCATTGTGTAAACCAACCATCATTTTGTTTTACTATACTGAATATGACTTGTTGCTTATTTCTTAAGTGGTCTTGGACAGGTTTCTCCTGTCATCCTTGGTTTGTCCCTCTAAAACAGATCACTGATTCCCACCTGGAGGAACTTGGGAGAGGGTGGAGATGACCCATGATGTGACTATGGCTAGCACTGCAAAAGCACAGAAAATGTCTTTCCGTCTCCTTTGGATCTTGAGGCTGAAGCTAGATTTGCGGTATTTAAGTTCCCACTCTCTCCCTGTTGTTTGAGATGATGTACTGATTCCCAGGTTTACAAGGAGCAGTCTCATCTCTTCTGTCAGGCAGAACCTAGGCTAGGGGAAAGCATGCTAGCCTTACAGTGAGTGGTTCTGAGGTCTATTAGAATGCCACTCCTTTGCACCTGTGCTGTTCCCTCGTGGCAGCCATTGGCCATCATTGTCACCAGAAGGGTGCTGCTGGTGACCAAATTATGTATGGCTTGGTGCTAGGCTTGATCCAGATCACACAGAGCAAACACTAAACTACTGCAGATAGCTTGTGCATAGGTGGCTGCGGGGAGTAGGGGAGGAGAGACAAGGAGAAATGTGTGGGTGTCCCAATTAGGGTGAAAAGAAACTGACAGCTCTCTCCTGATCAGCACAGGGGCCCCGAGGAAGCAGTGGAGCTTTTGCCTTTGTGTTCTGCCTGGAAACCCAGCGCTCTTTCCAGCAAGCAGGGATATCACACTTAAAAGAATGAGTCTTATGCTTTCAGCCCGACTCAGCTGCTGAATCGGAGCAAGGATCAGTGAAATAAGTCCAAGTCTCCTGCATTCCAAAGTCACTCCAGAAGCACGAGGAGCCCTGGAATACTGGCTCTTAGGAGATGATTTTGGCCAGAAGTGCAAACTTAGGGCTCTCCCTGGTGGTGCAACGGGTTAAAGCATCACATTATGAAGCTCTCTGAAGCTACTGCAGGATACTTCCATCCCTGGCCAGGGAGCTGACCCACATGGCCAGACCTCTCCTGTCTTGTCCACCGCTCCCCTCAGCAGTGTACCTTGTCAATCTGCCTGTTCTGCTTCCCAATCTGTCTCTGGTGAATCTCTCACCCACCACACCTCTGGCCTGTACCCCAGTTCTGTCAGCATAAATAAATAAATCTTTAAAATATAAAAAGCGCAAACTTAAAGGCCCACAGGGTCAGATGAAAGGTCCACACAGATACTGCCTCGGTATGAGAGAGCCGCGGGGGTAGGGACCGAGGTGAACGGAGTAGCACTTGCCCTATTTGAAAAGGACGGTTGTTACTCAGGCCCTGGAGGAAAGCTAACCCAGCCTCGCAATGGTCTTTGTTTATTCTAAGAGGAGGTAGAAGTCTTTTTTTTTTTTAATTAAAGTTCCCAATTTTTAATTTTATTTTTTAAAACAAATTTTTTTCTTTAAGATTTATTTATGTATGCATACAAGAACTGAAGTACAGGCCAGAGGTGCAGGGGATGAGAGGCCTCACCAGAGACAGAGTGGGGAGCAGAACAGGCAGATCTACTGAAGCTGAGGGGAGCAGCGGGCGAGACAGGAGAGGTCTGCTGAGCCATGTGGGTCAGCTCCCGGCCAGGGATCGAACTCTGTGCAGCAGTGGCTGCAGATAGCTTCACAGTGCTTAACTTCAACTACGTGCGCCATCAGGGAGACCCCTTAAGTTCCCATTTTGTAAATACTGGTAACAATTTCCATTAACAAAAATAAAAAATTGTGTGGGCCTAACACAAGGCACCTGCAAGGCTTTACCCGTTTGCTGCCTCTGCCTTGGCCTGTGGTGCAGTCACTCACTGAGGGACCAGCAGGAGGGGCTGTCAGCAGTACACAGCAAGGGCACACTGGGGTATCTGACACCCACAGAAAAAGGAATCCTCGTACTTGTCAAAACTGGTGTTGAGCAGTGAGTTAAATCCCAATTTGGGCTCAAAGTAAGGTTGGTTCGAAGCAGTGATTATCAACCTTTGTTTTCCTGCCTGTGAGCCTTTTACATTATTACAGAGTAGAACCATAATCAGGGATTCTGGCGGGCTGGGGAAGGGGGGTTGTATTGATGGAAAACTCCACTCCACCCCTCTGGCTTTTTGGAGACTCTGACATGACAGTCTCCTTCATCCCCTAGAAAAATGCTGAGATGCATTTTTAGTCTCAAGCAGATCTGGTACTGGGCTTTGCTGTTGTCCTAGTCGTGTCCAGAATTCTGCTTTATTCTGGGAGAAAAATGGGAATACAGGGAAAGTACTGAGAGGTGGGAGCAGAGTGAAAGGCTATAGAGACTGGCTTGACCAAGGAGTGAGCACATTCCCTAGAATTCTGGGGAGCGTGGGGGTCCTAGGTCCCTCCTCTCTACCCTGATTCCTCTGCTAGGCAGAGGCGAGCCGGGGTGACTGAGGAGGGCAGGGCCTGGGCAAGATAAGCCTCTCTGAGCTTTCTTTGAATAGAGACAGTGCAACCAAAAGTAGAAACGTCCAGAAGAGCCTTGGAAATGGAATCCATGACCATGGGTAAAAGAAGAAAGATGCACCAGTCTCTGCCTGTTGTGTGTTGCTGAAGTTATTCCTAAAGCTCTCTGTCCAGATGCTGATCAGGCGCTTGCAGGGAGAACCTTGTGAAGAAGCTTTGCTGGCAACACCCCGCTGGCAGGGAGGGAGTGCTATTCTCCTGCCAGAGACAGCGCCATCTGCCCCTAGGTTACAGGACCCAATCTGTGTGACTCCCCCTCGTACTGACAAGACAGGGGGCGCTTGGAGAATAGGCCCAAATCTATCACTTTGGGAAAGGTATTTTTGTTGTCTTCTTTTTATCTTAAAAATCCATGTTCAGGGCCTCACTGGTGGTGCAGGGATTAAAGACAGTGCTATCAATCAGCTACTGCAACGTAAGTTCCATCCCCCACTAGGAACTGGCCCACATGGCACATCAGACCTCGTCTCTTTCACCCGCTGCTCCCCTCAGCAGTGTATTTCAGTAGATCCACCTATTCTGCTCTCCACTCTGTCTCTGGTGAATCCTCTCACCCTTGTACTTCTGGCCTACACCCTAGTTCTTCTATAAACAAACAAACAAATAAATAAACAAATCCATGTCAAGTTTGCTCCACAATATGGCCTTTGGGACTTTTAATAAAGACTTACTGTTGAGGGGCCCTCCCTGGTGGTACAGCAGGTTAAAGCTGAGCACTATGAAGCTATTAGCAGACACTGCAGCACAAGTTTGATCCCCAGCCAGGGAGGAGAACCACTTGGCACAGCAGACCTCTCCTGACTGCCCGCTGCTCCCCTCAGCAGTGTATTTCAGTCAGTCCTCTTGTTCTGCACCTTACTCTGTCTCAGGTGAACCCTCTTACCTCCCACACCTCTGGCCTGTGCCCCAGTTCTTGTATGCATAAATAAAGAAATCTTAAAAAAAAACAAAAGACTTACTGTTGGATCAAATCAGTGTTTTCTGTTTCCCATGTGGCTTCTTAAACCCACTGGTGTATGCTGCTGTATTTCTTTCCACCCCTTCCCCAGGATGGAAAGCGCTTGTAATACTTGCTGACGGGAAACTCAGGTCACGGTTAAATAGCAAATTATCCGAAGTTTCACCTGTGAACTCTGCCTGTGATATAGTTATTTATGTGTACAAACAGGCACAGTATTTGAGATCCCCGGAGACGCCATCTTTCCTCAGAGCCTGCCTCCCTTCAGGTGTGGGAGTGTCATAAACAGTATTTCTGTTTATTCTGATTGGTCATCCAGGTTGGGTTGTAACCTTGGGTGGGGCGAGCTGATTTACAAGCCCTGCAGAGGTTCCTCGTCTGGCAGAGCAGTTTCTCAGGGTCATAACTGTCTCTTCCCCACAACCCAAGTATGGGGGTAGGCAGAGTCCAAACCCGACCTGGCCAGCCCCGCCTGTTGGTCACCAGGCTCTTTGCCTGCCTTCCCCTCCCTCCTTTGCAGATGGGTTAACCTGAGGGTTGCTTCTGGCTGAGGATGAGCTGTAAAGGGAGGGAGTGGGGGTGGAGTCTGGTGTGGGAACAACATCAAGGCTTTATGAACCTGCTCCTTGTTGCTAAGCAGCTTTCATTAGCTGGGAAGCTTGGTTGCTCTAGGCTTCTCTGGGGAATGGCAAGGAGATGCTAATGAGAGGATAGGTGCTG